GTGCAGCCTTGATATTTCATTGTTGCTATTTTATTTTCTAACAACAAAGGAGATGATTGTTGATTTCAGGAGGAACAGGATTGAATCAAACCCAATTTCCATCATGGGAGAAGAAGTGGAGGAATATACAATCAAAGTGTTAAAAGTGGAGAAAGTACTTCTAATGACAATGTCTATGATTTATTTAACCTGAAGTGAATCATTGCTGCCCCCTCAGACCAGTGAGTCCAATCTGTCACCATCTGACTCATCGCAGTATGAAGGAATCTGATAGTCCAGCAAATATGATTCTTCCTGCTGTGGAGGATTCAGCCTCTGACCTGTATAGAAACTTAATTTTGATGTCAACAGTGAACTTGATGTTTGCATCACATTCAGGTCTGTTTGTGTGACAGGTTGGTGTGATGTCTGTGAGAGACCTTTCCTAAAACAGTTTGTTATATGAAATATTTGCTCTGGGTTTCCCCCTCTGAGCCTCAGCAGCGTGAGCCTGTCTGAAGTTTCTGTTTGTTGGCCTCTAGAATCCGAGCGGCCATGTTTGTGTGTTTCCAGTCTTCCATCAGCAGAGCTCAGTATTACAGGTTCCAGCAGCGACGGTCACATGAAACCGCGCAAAACACAACAGGTGTCTATCCTGAGGTGGAAGCAAACCCCTGGCCGGGCACTGGGAACGTGTTTAAAGACAAAGCAAGAGCAAAAAAGTGATTCCTCTATGAACTTTTCCTCATTTATCACACTACAACCACAAACTTTACTGAAAGTTATCAAGATTTTAAACCTCTGCTCCAGTCTTATCCGTCCTCAAACAAGTTTTCTACAAGGATTTCTCATTATTTAGCTCTGTCTCATCATGCTTCACCCCAGTGATGGGCTTTTTTGATGATAAGCAGAATTTTCCTCTATAGTCAGGATTTTGCATGTAGACCAAAGGTTCTGTTTTGCATTGGCTTGTGGCAAAATTTCAAAAGGTGATCAAACGTTTTTCTTTTTGCCAGTCTTTGATAACAGGCCAGAGTTTGGAAGTCCATAACTGAGCTGAGTTGCCATGCTTCTCTAATGCTTCTCTTGGGGTTTTTTCCCCTGATTGGCCGTTAGACTCGGTTCAGTTGGGGACCGAAATTGGGACATTTGTTCCATTTTCAGCTGCTGTGGTTCACTTTCCCATTGTGCTGTGTCAAACAAACCAAATCGTTTGAAATCTGTCTGCAGAACCACTCAAGGAAACAAAATGACAAACTCTGAAGAAAACACTGAACATTACTTCCTTCTTTGTGTAATGTAAACCAAAATGGAGTGACACCAGATTTTAGCACTTGTAGGATTTTTCTTTTGTCTTAAGAAAAAGATAATCAATTTAGCCAGCGCTAGTCTTGTGTGTGTACTTTGGTTGTATTTACCCATAATGCCTTGTGCTGTAATCTGTTTCCTGCTTTTGGAGTGGTCTCTGGTCCCCTCTGTGTTCGCATATGCATTTGAACCGCACTGCAGTTCATTTCAACCGGACCCAAACCCAGGTTTCTAGGCGGGCCAGAGTTTGCTTTTTTTTCCAGTTTGATTGGACGTTCACACCTCCCCAAATGAACCAAACGTCAAAAGCAAACAAACTGGAGTTGGATTAAAGCAGACTGAACAGAGCAGGTGTGAACGCAGCCATATTATCTCTCGTCTTTCCTTCCCCAGATTAGATGACAGCTGTCTCTAAGTGGGTTGGTGCCTTACCCTTTTAGATGACAGCAGATGATCTGCAAATTGTTCACTTTTGTTCCATAACAGCACTTTCAGGTCAGTTTGTGGTGTAACTGACTCTAGTTGGTCTTTTTGTTCTTGTGTTTTTCCTATATCTTGTGTCGATATTTGTCGTTACTGATGCTGACGCTACCTTAAGCTTGTTTGGCTGAACGACCCAAATCCAAGTTTTGGTGACGAAGGACGGAAAGACTTTCACATTTTGCTGTGGATCGTTGAGCCCCTGAGGCACTTAGTGGCAAATTAGCTGATTTATGCTTTATTTTATTTTATTTTTTTAATCAAAAATCTATTTCTTTATGGGGACAAATACAATATTTATCTCATCTGAATTCAAACAAGCAAACTCTAGTCTGCCTGAAAATCCTGGAAAACATTGCACGCAGACAAACCAACAAATGAGCAAGAAACTCAAACAGAAGTGAAAAATAATTTACATATATTTGATCTGAACGCAGGATGCAGTCTCTTGTTCTCTGCTGCTGTTTCCTTCATCATTGCTCGGACTGAGAGTCAGTTACAGCAGCACCAGTTAGACTCTGTTTACTGGGTCCACCGGATTTCATGTAGAGGAAGCAGCTGTTCGAATACAAACACACACGACTCTTCTCAGATTTTAATGAGTAAAACAAACATCTATATTTTTTGCAGTTGTTGTATGTGATGGTCATTTGTATGTTTTTTGGGGGGATTTTGATTTATTAATGTTTCAGAGCCAGAATTGAGTAGATAAAGTTGATTTGGAGTTCATTAAGTTTTCCAAGACGTGAGGTGATCTGAGGACTTCCACAGATCAAATTTGCCTTCTTGTCACATTCCACCAGTTCGTCGTCAGTTTGGGTATTTGTAGAATTTGGTCCTTGGCTTCATTCTGCTATTGAATGTAGCTTTAAAAATGTTTCTCTCTGCAACAATGTGTCAGACTGCTGCAGTCAGATAGGCAACCGCTGCGAAGCATGGATACACGCAGAACATCAGAGTTATCGGCCTGCGGCAGAACATGCAAGCCGTCAGATATTCATCAGACAAGGCCAAGACCAGCAGCTTGTGTCAGCTGCAAGAAACAGTCACACAGTGGCAAAATGCTGGAATTTCTGACCGGCCACAATGATGCAACTGTTGAAGATGTTTGGTTTCCTTCTGGAGGTTTTTCACCAGATCCAATGAGAACTGAAAGTCCTCACACCCGTTTTGCCACATCACAAGCACAAACTTTATTGTACTTTATGATGGCTCCGAATGACGGGCCAGTACAAACCAGTGCAAATAATACAGTGGAAAGAAAATTATGCATGCTTTTAAAGAAAACAAAAAACTACAATCTTAAAAATAAAATCTGAAAATATGTTACGAATTTGAATTTAGTTACTTTTATTTAGAATCTGCTACTTTTAAAAAGAAAAGAAAAAAACACTGCCTGGGCGGAGAGGTTCACCTTCCAACAGGACAACAGCAACAACATGCAGGTTTAGATCAACGCATATCTATGTGTTAGAATGGCCCAGTCAAAGTATAGACCCAAATCCAATGTAAAGCTATTTCCCTTCCACTTTGTTTACATTGCGTTTCATATCAAAACTTGCATCGTCTGGCTTGAAGTCTGTATTTGTTGAGAAGAAAAAGGTGAAAACATTCAGAAACTAAAAAACTTCTAAACTTCTTATGAGCATTTCCACGTTGCTGCTTGATGAGAGCGTGAAGAAAAACAGACTGAACAGATTCCTGAGCGGAAGCTCCGACAGGAAGAGCGACGACATCAGTTCCTGTCTAACTACTGCTGCTTCTGCAATCTGTCAGGGTGTTTGACCTTCTTTCCCTTCTCATTCAAATTCAGCTTTTTAGAAAAATGTTTATAAAATGGACACAGTTCGTTTTAATACTGTTGCAACACAACAACATTTGACATGTGTTTGTTCCATAAAACATGTGTGACGATCCCCTCTGGTTTAAGAGCTCCGTATGATTAAATAGCCAAACTATTTCCAAAAGTTTGGCTATGCTGTTCCAGTTAGATAAATAACAAGTCCTGTTCAGCGCTAAAATGTCTCCTGTCTTCATCTGGGAACAAATGCTGAGTCAGGCTTTTGGAAAAAGCAGCGTGACTCAACATGAACGGCTCTTTTGCGCAGCTTCACAGTACTTTTTATTGCTGGTGTATTGTAAAGATAAAAAATTCATGAACAACAATCTGGCAGTACCTGCAGAGCGCTGAGAATAGCTCACATTAGTTAAACAATAGCTCAGAAAATGATTTTATAGAGATAGAACGAAGAAGAATTCTAATGTTTCTTTTTTAGGCCAGCTGACCATCTTCTCCAGCAGCAGTTTGCCTCGTCTCAGTTGAAATTGGCAGAGGTGTATATTTTTCATCATGGGGCCTGTCTTCCAGCACCATATGCGGAGGCTTCTCAGTGATCAAACTAATCCCGTGGATTGAGCACAGATGACCCAGATTGTGTCTGATGCTGGCGGTGGCGGTGCTCCCTTTACGTACAAGCGGATCTTCTCAGAGGAATGCAGCCGGCGTTTAAAAGTGAGCCTCCATCGGCCGCAGGAAGCAGTTTCATCTCTTACAGGAAACACAAATAAGGATTTGGAACATCTGGGTGCAATCAGATGAGAAATCTGGGACAGAATGGCATCATATGCTCCTGACATGAGTTCCAAGTATTTAGCAGAAAAAAAAAAAAACCTGACACTTTCAAAGGAGGTCAGATGAGACCAAAACAGACATTTCTGGCCTTTCTACAAAACTGAAGAGAAAACTATGCAAAGTCGCTTGAACATACATTCCTTATGGTGAAACATGGTAGTGGCAGCATCATGCTGCGGACAATTTCTGTCTTGACTGAAGAAGATGACTGAAGTGAACATGACTAATGTTCCACAGGGTGGCATTTTTCCTGCTATCATTATTATTGTCATTATTATTTACCCAATTTATATTTATGTCATATAAAGATGACTCACATCACACTTGTGTATACACATAGTTGACTTAATATTTTATAATATATGGTTGATCAACCAAGTATTAATTCCTTCCACTTCTACATTATGTACTACTTAACTTTGTGTTTGTCATCATAAAATGCATTAAAGTTTGGGCTTCTGGTGTGAAGAAAATGCTGCTGTGCGGCAGCTGGTCTGCATTCTGCGATGCTCCGCAGCATGATGGAGGAATAGTTAATAAGATGAGGATGAGGACATGATGGTGGAGCCGGTCTGAGCCGCCCTGATCCGCTCCAGAGCCCGGGGAGCGCCGCACCGCGCCGCGCCGCACCGCACCGCGCAGCGCCGCCCTGCGTAGCGCGGTAGCACCTGCAGCTGCTCTGCGCCTGAACGGGCTCAGACGCTCTCAGGAAACTCAAAGTCGCATCCACCCCGTTCCCACGGACACACGCATCTTTCCGCGGCAAGGTCACGGAGCTCGGCGGGCAGCGCGTGAGCACACACGGACCTCTACGTTTCATCTGAAAGGTAACGGAAGAACTCGGCGTGTCTCTGTCGGGTGGTCCCGGACATTATCGGTCGGTTTGTTTGAGGAAGCTAACTAACTAACTGTAGTTAGTTAACTAACGTTAACTACAGTTAAGGCAAATAGCGAGCCGTTGCTGCGTGTCCTTGTTAGATGCCTGAAGACATTTTTTTAATATGACGCGTTCAAGTGCCCGTGGAGAAAGGCGGACATCTGAGTGTCAAATGTTAGATTTTTAAAGTCAACTCCTATTTAGCTCTATACAGGCCATGGGAATCAAAGCTAGCTTCATCCGGTCTCTGTCCTTACATCAGCAGCGCCGTGTGATTAAGCTGCTACGCTCTTGGGAATCACTGCACCACACCGTCAGCAGCACAATTTTATGCTACTGAGCTGCCTGTAGATAACCTCATGGTGGGTTTTTCTTCCTCTCCTCATGAGGATGTGATGAAGACTAGTTTGCAAGCAGCACGTTGTCATCTGTTCTGCTCAACCAGAGCAGGTGTCGTCCTGTTCTGGTTGAGCCGTCTCTTACTGGCCTTTAGGTGTAAGGTCACAGGTCGATTTATAAAGCGGAATGTGGTCTTAGCTTCTTGTTTTAAATTTACCTCTTTCAAAATGAGCGTGACAGAACATCATGACATCACTCTTGTGAATTTACTCAAGAGCGGCCTCTGTGGCCAAAAGTAGTAAAATCAAGACATTTAATCAAGGAAGGACAACATTTCTCTCCCATGTTTCTGACTGTAGCGTTTTATGTTTCATTCAGGCGTTGCATAATAACCAGGAGAATAATGAAGTGAATAATACTGATTATTTATTCTGTATGACAGAATTTTGAGGGTTACACAGTTAGCAGCATGTGAACATTTTGTCCTTTTTGATATGTTGAGGCATTTTTTCCTCTAATGGAATCTCTTCCACAACCAGTGCAGTTTTCTATAATTTCCCCCTCTGTTTCCATTTACCAATGTGACCAACGGCTGTCCAGGTTAGAAATTTACCCCAGAAAAAGGAGCTTTGGTGACTGAAAGTTCCATTGAGAAAAACTTACAAAAAAATTCCTCAGGTTGTATTTTCAAATTTTCTTTTGGTAGCAGGGAGTGGGGTAAGAAAAAATTTGAGTGAGTTTGACCAGGACCAAACTCACCCAGATGGCTGGACATCTGAGTCTGAGCATCTCCAAGCCTTTAGCTCTTCCGGGGTCTTCCAGGGTTTGCAATGGTCAGTATATGCCATCCCTGGAAGGAACTCTGGACAATCGATGACATCATCAGAGTTTGGAGATATACACGAGGCGCCAAGTTCAGTTCAGGGTGGTCATGTTGACTCCTGACCACTGAAAGTGCCAACCACAAGCATGGAAGCATCAGAACTGGACCGTGTAGAACTGGACCAAGAAGATGACTTGTTCTGAGTAACCATGTTTGCTTAAATCATGTACATGTCTGAAGATTGCATCATTTACTTTTTGGTATACCAAATACAGTACATACTGTATATACCAAAAAGTAAATGACTCATGAATTATGTAGAAGGTGAACTGGCAGAGGGAGTGCAGTGCTCTATGCTCCTCTAGGGAAATCTTTGGTGCTATTATCCATATGGATGTTACTTAGACATCTACCCTCTAGCTAAGTGATGTTTCAGACCATTTTGTGGCCTCCTTCAACAGAGTGATGCATATTTCCTCAAAGCAAAGCTGCTTCTGGGATACTAACAAGAACTTTGTCATTCTGTCTTCACTTACTTATTTCACAGACCTCTGCCGAGTCAAGCATCTGTTGGATTGGTTGGACATTTGAGTCAGCTCTACCTCCCATATCTCGTTAATATTATTATCTTCTCTGTTGAATCTGCACACAAAGTCAAGTGTAAAAACAACACTGAGTGGGTTTATAATGGGGTGTGCTGTATACCAGGCTGGCCTGATGGCCACTTTCTGTAGCCAAGATGGAAACTTTACAGCTCATAGTCATGTGTCCCATTGAAGTTTCTCCTCTATAAGGACCCTAAACAGTTCCGTTGATAATGTCTACATGTTGTGGTATTCTGAAAAGCAGTGGCTTATTTCAACATCTGGACAGGATCATTAGACTTTATTTACAAAACCACGTTTGATGATGGTGGTTAGGGGTAAGATACTGCTGTCTAAGCTCTAGAGAATAGTGACATTTAATGACATTTAGCCGCAATATCACCTGAATGCATCTCAGGACAACAGTACCCAAAGAACAAAAATGGCTTTTGGTTGTGAGGGCAGTTGCACCAGAAGCCATTTTTGTTATTCAGAAACTTTTATCAATGTTTGATGCTCTTCTTGTGTAGTTAAAAGGAAGCAGTTCTTGTGGTATTTGACTATTTAAAGGTTATCGTTTTTAGTTGTTTCCAGGTTGTATTGCCAGTATTTGACTTATAGCAGCTCGGTTGGGCTGGAGAACAACGCTCGGTTACATTTGCAAACAGCACGCTTGGTGTTCTGCTTATTGCAAACCATTTTTCACTTTCTTAACCTCCATTAAACAGTAGCAGGTTGTTCAATATGCTGCTGCCAGATCTCTGGCTAAATAATACCTTCTCACATTTGAGTCTCACTGCTTACAGGTTTGAAAAGGCTTGTGGTTTATTTAAGAGTGCATTTTAAGATTCTTGTATTAACTTGGAGCTCTTAATGGGCAGGATGCAGAACTTCTACATGTGTCACTTTATATCCACTTTTAGTCAATTGATCTTAATTTAATAGCTATTTGTTTAGTGTGAGTGGTGTTTATATTGTGAAAAGTTCTCTATAAATAAAGTTTAGTTACTAACTTACAGCAGTAGAAACACCTCAATCCTCTGACCTTCTCCAATAAGAGACCAGAGAGGAGTTGCAGTAAGAAAGCCCTGGATTGGCTGATGAACATAGGTGTTGGCAGCCCACATGGAACAACTGAAGGGGACCTTTCCATCCCAGACTCTTGTTCATGAATTAGCTCAAGGACTTCACAGTGCAGAGGCTGAACAGTTAGCAGAACGGCTGTTGTCACCTGAACGTACTAGGCAAACAGACAGAAGTTGTCAGAAGGAGCTGCTGTCTCTCTGCCCGTTCTCCTGCGCTCTCCAACCAAGGTCAAGGGTATTTACCTGAACCATGGTGATGAATAGATCATTGTGTTTACTGTAAATGGTCTGTGCTTCAGTTCAACCTTCACAGTCTACAATTATGTTAATCATGAACTGTTTGTCAAACAAAAGGAGTGCTATTACACTGAGATAACCTTAGAGCCAAGCTTGCCTTGACATAACTTTAAGTCCCAGCATGAGACTCAGTTGAAGAGGTTGGGGGTGTGGCGGTCACGCTGGAACCCGCTGACCCGTATGGGTCGTGTTACCGCTTTGTCAAGCCTATTTGTCAGGTTGCTGTTCAGCTGAAATGCTACAAATTTGATTTTCTCTAACATTCTGGCTAGAAGACGACCTTATTCAGGTTTTTTGTTGGAAAGAGATGGCTCCGGGTTGTTCAGAGTTTTTTCCCCTTGCTGTGTACAAACCTGTGGCACCATGGCCCTCACGCCCTCCCTCTATGATTCACAGCTGCTTTCTGTTTCTGTTCACTCTTCCTGTTGTGATAATATTAGATGTAACTGAATTTGTTTGAATGGACGAATCGCTCAACTGCGGTCCTTGTGACGCGCTTTATGTGGGTCAATTTTAGCGCATGTTGGACTTTTCCAGGAGAATTTAGGATATATTAAATGATGAGGCACAGTGTCTAACAAACGCATTGTATTATGAATGCAAATTCTTTGGTTCATGTAACTAATTTAAGTTTGTACATTGTCTGGAACGTTCTAGCACCTGCTACAGCTAAACCATCACATTGTAGTTCAGCTGCATGTTTAGAGCAGTGCTGCTGGAAGGTGAACCTCCACCCTTGTTCAAGTCTTTCATGAGCCTATGACCAGGTTCCTGGCTTTATTGCACTGGATTTAGCCGACCGACTGCCTTGCTGTGGGTAGCTTCCACTGAAGGAGCTCTCCACAGCAGGATGCATGGAGTTAAGTTCCCGACACACTTTTTTATGGTTAAATAAGAATTAAATAAGCACTATTAAAATCACACATGAATAAGTTTGTTCATGAGATAGGCCACTAAAAGACACGCCTCATCATCATCCTGCAACAACTACTTCCTGTCCTCTTCCTGGTTTGCATCAGTAGCAACATCAGGTTGTGGATCACGTGTCTCGTAGGATGTGGAAAAAAATGTCTCCGTTGGAGTGTTGTGAAAAAACCCAGTTCTGATACAGCCAAAAAAAAAACACACCTCATTCTAGTGGCAAAATATTTATTAAAGGAGTTGGTTTTTTTAATTGACATATTTCTATTAAGCAGTTTTATTTTTGATATGTCAAACTGCACAATTGACTAGTGAAGATAAATCCAACCGCTGACTGTTTTGCTTTTCAAGTCCAGTATCACCATATAAAAATGGCAAATTTATTTCGTCCTGAAAGGTGGCGTGCTCTGAGAAATAACCAAACATATTTTAAAAATGTGTTACATTTGTCATTAAAAGCAAAATACCTTCTTTTCAAGAAAGAAATAATGATATTTGTAGATGTTGTCCAAATGAAACTTAGTGAGGAGATTCATGGTGAGCCCCTTTATGCCTTAAATATATAAAACTGGGTGGAACAAGAAAATGTTCCCGTTTTAACCAGATACCACTTCTGAATTGATTTCCAAGCCCCTACGGTAAAACGCTTCTCTAAACGTTTTTGACTTTTAGAGCCTGGATCACATTTTTAAGTGAGTTTGTGTCAGTTTAAATCAGCTGATTTAATCCAATGCCTTGAAACTTTATAAACCCACTAGAACTCTGTCAGAACCATCCAGTGAAGGACAGAGCAGAGATGGCCTCTATTGACTGTGGCCGTTGGAAGCAACATTAGGATGTGTTGACATTGTAATGACTGAAGTGACTTTGCTTTGCTTGACTTCCCCTGCACTCAAATGGCTCAGTATGAATACGTTCTGTAAAGCCACACTGTTCCCTTTTTAAACTCTCCCCCATGCTCTTTTTATGGTCATTCTATTTGGAGCTTCATATTCAAACCCATCAACTTAAGCTGCTTATAGATTACAAGAAACCGGCATGCATTGTGGTTGCGTTCAGTCCAAACCAGCATCTCTGCTGAGAGCTGCTGTCTGTAATCTGATTAGCATGGATTAGATCCTCTGTGTGGAGCTGTAGGAAAAAAAAAAAGCTTAATCTCTAACTTTGATTAAAACAGAAATACAAGGGACTGATACTCCAAATTATATTTCCCAACACAAACTCGGCTGAGGCACAATCTTTTCCCCAGCTATGAAGTCATGCTCCCAGTAAAGCCATTTGAAGCTGTTAAAATTCTCACTCTACAGTTCAAGAACACTCATGGTTACTGACAGTTCTAAAATATTCTTAGGTATTGGGGAGGGAAAAGGGGAGTAAGAACCGTCAGATAACCCCTTTTTCTTTTGCCCCGATTTTCCATTTACGAATATGACTGACTTTGGATAAGTCAGATTCAACATAGTCTTGGCCCGATCATTGTAACCTGTGGGGTTTTCCCTGACAGGGAGAGAGAATCAGCCTGTTGAATGTGACAGGTAGCTAATCAGGAAGCGCAGTGACGTAAGAACGGAGGGGAATCCCACACAGTTGACATGGTAACCGAGAGTCCGATGGACATCAGAGGTGATATGTGGAAATGTTTATTACTATATGTAAAGGTAATTTTTAAAATATGTTTATTATATGTGGTTATGTTTATTCAGTTAAAAATGTTAACTACAAAAAATAAACCTCACCAATCATCAGTCGCAAATACAGCAGCTGCTGCTTTTATCAAACGCTTTTTATTTTTGTTCTGTCTTTTATCGCTTAAAATGATCCACAAACTATCATTACTGCGCCTACATAGTCATCTGTGTTTGATTATTCTAAATGTACGTCTGGTATGTTGGGGGTTTCACTGGATTTTCTTTGGGATGTTCAGGAGTGGAATAGCTTCTTGTCTTGTGTTGCCCCTGCCGTGTGGCTGGACACACGAACCGACCGAATTTGTTGGATTTTCATCGGCTCTGTGGTCACAAAGGTTTGGAAAATCAGCTGTGCCGGGCCTGGTTTGGCAGTTAAATCTTTATGCCACCAGACAAAACATTAAGAATAATTTCCTGTTTACAGTGTTAGCCTAAAAGTGCTTAATGCTGTGATAGATAGTATTCATAGTAATGAATATCATTAAGTAATGAATATTCATAGTAATGAATATCATTACTATGAATCTCATTCTATCCTATGCAGACATTCAGTCAGCACTGATGAAGATTCACTTACTTTTTGCAAGCTAAATGCTTGGACTGGCTCCTCAAGCAGGGTTATCTGCTTTCAAAAGGGTAGCTATGCAGCTTTTTTTTTTTGCATTATTTAATCAATCACTCAATCAAATTTTATTTGCAGCACATTTCAGCAACAAGTCATTTCAAAGTGCTTCACATCATAAAAATACAAAGTCATAGAGGTGCTTTCTTTACACATCGGTTTGTACTAATGGTCATCCAGTCATCTAAACATGTATTTATTAATATCTTGATTAATTTATTTCAGTCAAAATCTCCCTTTATTGAGACAAAGCAAATTGTATTTGTCAAAGTCATCCCAGTGTGTGTGTTCAGGTAACTGCTGCTTTATATAGTTCGACCTGGTTTTATTTCAACCTGAGCAGATTAGAGCAGAGAGCAGGAAGCAGAGCAGCCTGCTCTAACATCGTTGTTGTGAGTCATTCAGTCGGTCTCAGAAGTGAAGAGTCATCCTGCTGGTTCAGTTTGAGCCGATTGCTTTCAGGTACACACACTCCGCCTCGTACCAGGCCACACACTTCACTCTGCTCTCAATCTAGGGAATCTAATGCCAAGAGATAAGAAGAAGACAAATGAATGGTCAGTCAAATTTTGAGAAACTTCAGAGTTTTTTCTGCCGTTGTCTTTGATTTTATTGCATATTTCTAATTTAAATGATAAAAAAGCAAATGAACAGGTTGAAGTTACGTAACTATGTCTTCATGTTGCACCATTTCATCACAGTTAATTATCCCAATAAATTAAAACGTCATCATAAAGTTTTATCTATTGCTGTGTTTCAATTCAAAACCTCAAAATTTCAATTGACTCATTACACAGAGTCAGAATTTGTGATTATTTCTGTTCATGTTCATGGCTATGGCTGACATGGAAATGAATGAAATCCAACATTCTGTTTCTCAGGTCAGCAAAAAAAAAAGAAAAGATTTTTAGTCATGAAGCATTTTATTCTGGACTACAAATTCATGACCTGATGGCTGTCCAATCACTGACTCACTCCAAGCCTTAAAAATGCATTTGAGCTCCGTATCCAGTCATATCAATGGAAAGTTAAATGGAAGGAAAAAAGTAGATAGTTTTAGTCTCAAGTCGAATGTGAAGGAAATTTAAGTATTTGGGGGAGACTGGACTGTTGATAAACATGCATATTATCCCAATATTACCTTTGCTAAATTCCCACCTTTAAGATGCTCAGACATGATTCCGCTCATGTATAGTCAAACAGGCCAAACTGGCTTTCTCAGGTTTGCACATCATTATGTGCAAACACTCAAACTGGGTGATTACTTGTAAAGCAAAGAGATCTGTCGGCATCTTAACAACTGACTGCTAAAGAATGAAACACTGAAGATATTTGGCATTACCTTCACAGTTTGCAGTGCGTCTGTGAACAGGTTGTTGGTAATGAAGGTGTGTTTCTCAGGAACCTGATTTGATCACCTGACCCTTCCCCCACGTAGTAATGTTTCCTTTATCTCCCGAGGAGGGAGATATTCAAGGTGAACTGGGGGCGGGGCCTGGTATCTCAGGTACGCTGTGTGTGTGTGCGTGTGTGTGTGTGTGTGTGTGCGTGTGCGTGGGTGTGTGTGTGTGTGTGCGTGCGTGTGCGTGTGTGTGTGTGTGTGTGTGTGTGTGTGTGTGCGTGTGCGTGTGCGTGTGTGTGTGTGTGTGTGTGTGTGCGTGTGTGTGTGTGTGTGTGTGCGCACGCACCTGGACCCATGTCCGGGTGCACATTTTGTGCTCCCGGACATGGAGCTCTGGAATGTCATAACTGAATGACTGGAAATAAAAAAGCTTTTATTGTCACCTGGATGAGTGTGTACTGTAAACACAGCTCCAGGCCTGACTGTAATAATCAGGGACATTTTCCTATAAACACACTTTCACTCATGTTATTTTAAATGGTAACTGTAGTAAGTTAAGACTGCTGAATTCGGCTCATGTTAGTCTCGTTAATAAAGTTGATCTGGCTCAAGTCCATCAATAATTAAGCTACAGCACCAATTAGTTTACTTAATAAGTTTTCTTTGAGAAACTTTACAGAAATTCATTTAATGTATGATTTTTGAAAATTTGATTTCTTTTTACAATCTGCCATGACGTCATGGAAGGCTCTGATTTTAATTAAGTTAAATTGACAGACATGTAATTATCTCTAATATTTAACATACTAGTCGTCCCTGGTGCATGGTGACGGGTTAATTATTTGGGGAAAAAAAGGCAGGATTCCAGAGGAAGGAGTTTTATTGGTCAGATAAAGGTATAATAAGAGGTGTGCACTTATAAATCGACCTGGTTTCTTTAGCTTTGGGTGACGGACAATTGGCTGATGCTTCCGTGTGAAACTGATCTCGGTCATGATCGCACCTGAGACCAATGTGATTTTATTATTTGTTCTGTTTGCGTTTCATTCTCTGGAAGAAAAACTCAAAGGTTCCCATTAAAGAAAAAAACTGAACAGGAAAAAAAAAAAGAGAACTCAAAAAGAGGAAATCCTTGTTCTGATTCTAGAAAACTGTTGAATTAATGATAAATTGTGAAAGTAAATCTGCTGGGCCTCACCTTGGTACTCAGATGATAATTCTGACACTGCTGGAGAAGAAACATAAAAAAATCAAAATAAATGAAATGTGAACTGCCTAAGCGCCATTCATGTTCTTTGCCTCTGATTGGCTGCATGCTCAACATAAGATATGAAGAAGACTGTAGATAATAGCGTCTGTGAGAGCTTCCAGTGTGCTTATTTATGCATATAAAGGTATATTAGGTGTTTCAACTATAAAACTGAAACATGTCAATTTTAAATGGAGTATTGACAGACTGTAGTTGTGTGGAGCTGTCATGTGTTTTGGGGGAACTACAAGAATTCATTTGTTTCAAAAACTTACTGAGCTCTATAGCAGAAAAAGACAGATAATTGCTTTAAATAATATCGTTTAACATGTTTTGTCATTCAGCTAAATAAGCAGGTTTTGATTATAACAGCATAATAAACATGCCATATTTTCACGAGCTCAGAAACTTCAACCTGTTAGCTCGTGATGAAGGGTTTGTCAAAAGTCTCGGTCAGAACAATGAAAGGTGCAAATTTATGAAAAACAGTCCACAAAACTACTGTTTATTATGCAAGTTTTCTATCCATTGATTGGTCTTTTCCTTGTGTTTTTTATTTTTATTTGTCGCTACAGCAAAAACTCAGCGTTAAGGTGGGCCAGTGATGCCACCCCCCACCTCTGGTGCTGTCGTGCCCCCACCGGACGGTGGGTGGGGGTGGGCGGTGGTGCTGGGATCCTTCATCTCCATCGGATTCTCCTACGCCTTCCCCAAAGCCATCACGGTCTTCTTCAAAGACATCCAGATCATCTTCGATGCGTCCTACAGCCAGGTGGCCTGGATCTCCTCCATCATGCTGGCTGTCATGTATGCAGCGGGTAAGCAGTCCTGGAAGTGACTTAGCAAAACATAATCTAGGTTGTCTATTGCCATCTGTAAACCTGTTACATGTTAGATAGAACTCATGTTTAACATACTTATCTGTATTTTAGATAGGATCGACAACGCTGCTTCATATGTGTTAACGTGAAACTATTTACTGATTTAGATTTTGAAATAGACATGGTCAACTGCAGTCACTCATTGAAGATAACTGTAAGGCTAGGAAGTAGCCGTTAGCATTGCTAGCTGTTAATGGCTAGCAATTTGGCAGCAAGACATTCGACAAGTTCAAACTTTAACAAAGAGTAAATGGCATTGATTTATGTCTTCTTATTAACCAAAATACTGATTTTAGATGATCATAATTGGTTTTATTTGCTTGTGTGAGGCAAAGAATATTTGACTTCAGATCTCTCAATAAAGACAATTAAAATATTAACAAATACATAAACATTTTTTGTAATTAGGTATAAATACATTGTTTTTTAGAGTTTTAGTAAAGAGCACTTTATAGCACTGTTCTTGAGGTAAAAGAACAGTTTGTGTCCAGCATGTGTGGGATCTGCAGAAACGTTAGCTGCCCTTTTCCCGACCCTGGACCTAAACAAGTGCCTTTTGGCAGGAACTAAAAAGATGGAAGTTACAGTCACAACTAATTACAGATCTCAATCAGAATCAGAGACGTTAGTAAATTAAGCCCTGCTAAATAGCTGGTTAAGGCAGCCAATCAGATGACGGGTGACAGAAATTCGTATTAGAAGCCTCAGACTGGTGGGAATTGGTCGTGAGCCGGACACGGGCCCCGGCATATTGGTCTGCGTTGAGCAGATCGCTCACCCAGGCCCACCATGGCTGCCATCTGCCCACGCTGTAATCCTCCAATCAGAGCCTCTGCTGCTGCCGCCATCTGTGCCGGTCAGGAACAAGCGTGATGAGCCTGGATGGTTCGGACACAGCAGAACAAAGAGACATTTAGTAAATCTTTAAAAGTATGTTGACGATGCAATGCAGGCTATATTTGTTGTTGTTGTTATTATTTGCCAATCCAGACTTTCTGGAGGAATCCACAGTGGACATGATGACTACAAACTGAAGGGAATGTGTCTGATTGTTCATCATGGGCAGTATTCATTAGCTTTAACTCTGAGCACGTTGAGAAAGCGCTCCAACGCCGACAAGGTTGGCTGCTTGTTGCTCATTATGGGCCTGCCTCTAGCAGACTGCAGCGGGGGAATAGCAGTGGATAAATGGTCAGATCCCGACTCACCGATCTCCTTTTTAAAGCTTTCCACAGACTGAATGTCATTATCATGTGTTGACTCCGTCAATATGTGCAGGTACTAAGTGAGTGGCTCTTGTTACTCACTCATTCATATTGATTGAACTCATCAGCTATTCATTAAACACCTGCTCTCTTGTCCTGCCTATTACACTGGCGATTCCATCACTCTGAATGTTTAACACCTTTCTAATTCCCCTGCAGCTGCTTTTTGTGTGCTGTTTACACAGCGCCGCCATTAGCAGAAGGCTAGCTGGTAATGAGCCAAGCAGCAGACACCCACAGGTAATAATCCGGTCCTTCCAAATGGCCAAAAAGACCTTTTCCTTTATTAGCACTTCCCCGTGCTAACCTTGTCTACGATATGCAAAACTAAGAGTCAGGTACAGAAACAAAACAGCCTTGATCGAAACTCGACGAGTTATGTTTTCACAATTCTTTCTTTGCTTCAGGAAGATAAAAATATACAAGTAAATTAAATGAGATGTTAGATTTAAGAATTTCTAGGAATGGCGTCTCTCATTGGATGAGAGGTGGGGGACCCCCATGTCACCCATTGAAGTGACTGACCTAATTTAACAGAGGTCCAACCCGGTGGTGGTAACAATCTTACAATGAGTGGAATGTGTGATTGTAATTTAAAGACCTCTGTGTGTGGAAGACCACTGGTTCATCAGGACAGCATGAGGACAAGAAAACTCCAACAAGTCAGAGAAACGTTTATTGAAAAGTATAAGTCAGGGGATGGATAGCATTTTTTTTTTCTATTGTCATTATTTTGTTGAAATCAGTTTGCAGCGTTTTGGTCAAAAATAAAAGTTTTGTTGATCATAACTGATTTCTAAGAGAAATAGAAAAAAATGTTGAGCAAGTATGAAGGAATTTGTGGACAAAAAGTCCATAAAAGCACCAAAAGATTTATTGTATAGGCGTCTCTTGAAAGGAAACAGACAAGTCTAAGGCATAACTGTATTTTGTCACTTAGTTATTTTGTGATCACATTATTTTTTTATCTTGTTTTTCAAACTTTAATGTTTAAAACAGAAGCATTTACACAGAAACCTTCAGGATGTGTTGCTCAGTTGCTCAACTGGTTTTGTCGATGACATGTCAAACAAATGACTTCTAAACAAAACGCTTCAGTGGGATGAGCTGTGATACTGACTGGTTACAAAATTAGCAGTCGGAAACTTCAGACAGAAACTCGCGCAGCTGTCTGGCCTAGTTAAAACATGCAATATGTCATGACCTGTTTGAACTTTGAAGTGAATGCTCCAATGCAGCAATGTAATTAAGATCAGTACGGTGCATTTGTTCTTAGAAACAGTGTGTTGCATTCACTTTCAGTCATGGAAAGTGCAGAGACTCTATACCGAGACAAACAGGCCGGTACAGTGGAGGTCCTTGGATGATTCTGGGTTGAAGAGGTTGAAGTCAAAAAGAGGTTGAACCTCTTTATTGCAAAACGCTGGTCGTGTAATCAGCCGAGTTCTCATCATGGCCAATTTCAGGTTCTCCTTCTCCCCTGAGAAACAAATGGTAATGAGGGTAGCTTTCCGCAAGGTCGGGAAGAGATTCCTGAAGAGCGAGTTCAGCGATGACTCAGTCTGTGGTTTTTATGATGAACTGCTAGAAATAAACTCATCTTCCCGGTGGTAGCAAAGATATTAAGCTCAGAAAGTGCCAAAAAATAAAAAAAACTTTACATGCTCAGGTTACCATTCATGCACTGAAAAGTTTAGCAGACTCCAGTACTAAAAGCTGCAGTTTTTATTATTGTAAATAAATCAATAAGAATGTCATTTATCTCTCTCTTCATAATAATAAGACAGAAATCTTTTGATTCTGGCAATGATCGAAAACATAAAGTCAGCCAAGATAGTCTTATGTAAAGAAGTAACGCTAACGCAACAAAGAGACGTAGAAACGGGTCTGATTAGTTGTTCAGTTTGTTGGAGTCTGTAAAGCAGCTCGTCTGACAGGATTATGATGTTGGGCAGCTAACATATCCCTCTAAAGCTGACAGAGCAATCACACACGGTCGCTCATCGCTCACAGACTGGAGGTGATAGCATGACAAGGTTGCTGGTAGCAGACATTGCTTCTTGTCTCCAGTCTTCAGATTAAATCCTTCAGCCTGTGCGTGTTTTCTGTTTATTCGCTGCAGGTCCCATCAGCAGCATACTGGTCAACACCTACGGCTGCAGACCCATCGTCATGATGGGCGGCTGCCTTTGTTCCACGGGCATGATCTTAGCGTCCTTCTGCACCAACGTGATGCAGCTTTATTTCTGCATCGGTGTCATCGGAGGTAAGCCTGGCCACTTCAGGAAGTCCATGTTGAGATGTTGCGATTAGCCTCCACCTCGCCAAGGAGAAGTTCAAATAAAACTGGAGTAGCAAGAAACATGTTTGCATCATTTAATCTGCTCAGTCATTGTACTTATTTTTAGATGGTTTTTGTCTTCTAATTTTCTATTATGGATGTCAGGCAAATTATAATATACTGAATTACTGAATTTATTATTCGAAAACAACTAAGGATATAAGCATGAATCTAATATTGAGACTGTACAACAAGAGAACGTCCAGCTTAAAGCATTTAAAGTCTGTGTTGGAGCTACTAGCATCCACTAGCAGAGTACTGAACGGCTTGATGACAGCTGATTCCACTCTTCACTATATTATGTTATTAAACAAATAAAATCACCAAAAACACATTTTAGTAAAGAGTTACAGACATATCTAGGAATGTGTAGCTATCTGGTGCTAAATGCTAACATCAGCAAGCAGATGCTTAGCAGTGGCTCTGTCTAGACAGCTTTTCTTTTGCTCAACATGTTTGGTGCATAATTAGGTGCATCCTTTCTAACAAGTTAGATAATGTAATTGCTGTTTTTCAACGTTTTGGATAATCACATGTAGAGCAAAACTTAGCACTTACTTAGCAACCCTTACATTCAGCTATTCTAGCATTTTTCAACCCTGGTCCTGTGGACAAACGGAGCAGCGTTTGTCCACAGGACCCCAACATAATGTGTGTAGGTTAAAAATAAAGGCAGCTTCAATGTTAAATGTCAAGCTAAAATGTTTGACTGATGATTAGTTGTATTCATTCTGTCAAAAAGAAATCATTTGAAATCCTATTTGATGTTTCCATGACACAAGCAATCTTTAATATGTAATTTAACTGACTTGTCATAGTGTTATTATGCAGCCAAATAGACATTACTGTGGTGTATTTATATTACTAAACTCAAATGCATTCAGTGTCATGGTTACATTTTGAAACCGAAATAGAAACGGTTTCACAGTTTTTGACAGAAACTAATTACGGTATGAAATCAAACAATATTTAGAATATAAGTTCTTGAATGCATCACTTTACATTTTAGTTGTTTTATTTAAAAGGAATGTACTTATCTTCATCAAATGAAAAGTTCAACAGTAATTTAGAAAAAGTGTTGATACTCTGCGTATGTTTCATTCTTGGTTTCTTGCGGACTAATCATCGCTGAATGTCCTCTTTATGTCCATTTTCCAGGACTTGGATTGGCCTTCAACCTGCAGCCAGCGTTGACGATGATAGGCAAATATTTCTTTAAGAAGCGCCCCATTGCTAATGGGTTAGCGATGGCAGGCAGCCCAGTCTTCCTCAGCACTCTGGCACCTCTCAACCAGTATCTCTTCAACCAGTATGGATGGAGAGGCAGCTTCCTCATCCTGGGCGGGCTGCTGCTGAACTGCTGCGTGGCCGGCTCCCTCATGAGGCCCCTCGGACCGCCGCCCGGCAAGGTCAAGAAGGACGAGCCGCTGGCCGCTGTCACCACTACGACTGAAAAGCGCAGCCTCTGGCAGATAGTCAACAAGTACCTGGACCTGACACTGTTCAAGCACCGGGGCTTCCTCATCTACCTGTCAGGCAACGTCATAATGTTCCTGGGTTTCTTTGCACCCATTGTCTTCCTCGCCGCCTATGCTAAAGACATGGGTGTGGATGAATACTCTGCTGCCTTCCTGCTCTCAATCTTGGCTTTTGTGGACATGTTTGCCAGACCCTCCATGGGGCTGCTGGCCAACTCACGATGGGTTCGCCCCAAGATCCAGTATTTTTTCAGTTTCGCTGTGCTGTACAATGGGGTGTGCCATATCCTTTGCCCACTAGTGGAAAACTACACTGGCCTGGTGGTGTATGCAGTATTCTTTGGCTTTGCTTTTGGCATGGTAAGCTCAGTGCTGTTTGAGACATTGATGGACCTGGTTGGAGCGCCAAGGTTCTCCAGTGCTGTGGGACTCACAACAATTGTAGAGTGCTGCCCTGTTCTCATTGGTCCACCATTAGCAGGTAGTTTTCCTGACTTTGAACACGTTTTGTTTGATTGTTGGTTTTCAATGTACTATGGATTTGATGACTGCATGGAACTCAACCATCTTTTGCTTTCTCTTTCAGGGACACTTGTCGACGTCACCAAAAATTACAAGTCCATGTATTTCTGTTGTGGTGGAGTTGTCATCCTGGCGAGTATTTGGCTTTTTATCGGAAACTTCATTAACTACAGACTCTTGGAGCGTGAGCGCAAGCAGGGGGAGATGTACAAACGAACTGAGACGGAAGATCCCGATGGAGTTCGGGATGAGAAGGAGGCTGACGGTGCGGCCCAGGCCTCCGAAGACCTGGCCGACCAAAACCAAAAAGAAGCAGAGCCCATGCAAAGAGAGACTAATATTTAAAACCGTTCTACACTGCCAAACCTTGACCTTTCACCCCAGCTGCAGCTGAGCAACACCTTCAAGTATAAAACAACTGGGCTCCAGGCCAAGAGTTGCCTCTCACTGGACAACCACAGTCTGGTGGGGGCGCTCCTGGTTTGGCAGTCTGAAAATAACTGCCAAAGCAACTGTGGTGTTGTAGGGAAGGTGATGTACAGTATCTGTTTTTAACAGCACACTAGCTGTGACTACAACTGTAATAAAAAGGCGGTAAACATTAGAAACTTACAGACAAAACTTCCTATCTTTTTTCTGCCATTCTCATCCAAGATAAGCTCTGGGACACGACAGATATGCTGCTGATTTTAATGTACGAACGGTACATCCGCCGGAGTGTTAATTTATTCATAAAATAAACACATTACTTTGATTCACTTTGACTGAATTGAAATCGTTCAGGATCAAACATCCAAAAGCTGCATCAGTCTGTTATTCTGGTTTCAGCTGGTTTGGAAAGCCAGGTGAACCCATACTGGAATATGAAGAAAATACAAGCCAGATGCATTCCCCAGTTTAAAGGCCTTTCTGAAATTCTATTAGTATTTAATTAAATAAATCACACATGGATCCAGTTGTGAACAAATACATTGAGTGCATTCACATCACATAACAACAGTGTGTTTAATATGTGCCCTGCACTGCCTCCTACCGTCTGGGAGGATACTGGCAACAGTGGAATAAATCCTGCAGAATCTGAAGCAGTCTGATTCCACCTGGAAATCATTTGAGTTAATGATTTACTCTGTGGGTTACCATTGTGTGTTAAAAAAAATTTTCGTCATGTTAACGTCACAAAATGAAGATCTGAAGGAACATTAATGTCGCAGCATACTTAAGTTTTTGTTTTCTGCTGGAAAGAGAAGCAACACGTTTTTTTTTTTTTACATTTTCTTTGTCTTTCTCCTTCAAGTTGACATGAAAAGTGGGAAAGAATGCCAAAGTAAAAATTGGCCGTTGGTGTCAGAGACAAAATTAAACTAAAGTAGTTTTCTTTTTTTCTGTTTTTTTTTTAAAGGGGTAAATGCTGGCAGTGCTGCCACCTACTGGCCTGGCATGTATATTCCAGAATTGATCTAGGAATAGTGTCTTGGATATTGATTTATTTTTTTTCGAGGGCTTAACAAAATAAAACTGACTCTGACTGGATTCCTCAATTATTACAACTAACTTTTCTAAAAAACTGAACAGATGTGGTCACAGCTGGTGATGCTGGTATCCATATATTACTCCGTCCTGAGCATTGTAAAGCTGTGTAAACCTGTGCAAACCTTTGATCAAGACATAAAAAATGCTGCATTAACTGTCTTGGGTACAGTAGTCCCACTCTCATATCAAGTATGCTGCACTAAATGTCAAATTGTCACACTTCAGTCCCTGACGTTGTTTTAAAATTGCTGCAATTCACTGAATTTAATTACGGTTGAATGTAATTTCCTCTGTGGGCCTTAATAAGGTATTAATGACCAAAACCTCCGTCTGCGAACTGGGGGCCGTACACAGGCGGAGCCCAGGAGCAATACACTCTCTCTCATATTAATGCAAATATACAGGGAAATGTGTTTCTAGTGGCAGTCCAGTCTGTGATGCATTGCCTTAAATTTAAATGCAGTGTAGCTTTTGCAGGGTAGTCATAAAATTAATAGTGGACAGAATAATATGAAGACGACAAACTTTGTGTTAATGTGAGACATTTTATTTCTGCTGCAGTAAAGAGAAACTCACACCTGTTCCATTTGTCTCCTAACATATCTGTGTTGGAATGTGAAAGCTTTCAGTGATCGTGTTCCGTGTCTCGTTGTTTCAGTCACTGACTAACCATTTCCATTCCTGAATGTTGAACTGAAAATTGTAATCCAGCCATGTGTGGTGTGTGGTGTGCACACGCAGACATGCAGCATGTTTTCCTTTGCTCTTCAGTGACAGTCGTGGAAATACGCCTCACTGCCCAGGGCGCGATTCTGCCAAGGGGCAGCACAAGAACAGCACTAGCTGCGTTTCCGATACAAACATGCGCAAAATGTTGTCAGTATTCTGCTAATGTAAAAAAAAACAACACATTTTTAGAATTGCGGTGTTTCTATTAAATAAGAAATACAATTGAAGTCACACGAAAAAGTTTGTTGATAGAGTAAGTAATCAAAAAAACATGCCATGAACTACTTCCTGTTGCCTTCTTCTTCATGGTTTGGACCAGTGGTAACATCCAGTTGATGATCATGTGACTCGTGTCATGTAAACAACGTGTTTCCATTGCAGTTTTGCAAAATGCTCCAGTTTCAAAATCACCTCAACATTTTATTGAGAAACTGGATTTTTTTTCAAAACTGCCGCGTTTCCATTGACCAAATTTATTTTCGGAAAATCAAATTGCGCAATTATATGGTCATTGTAAACGCAGCTAGTGTCAGTTGTGCCCACATGATTTTCATTTCTTAAATGCATGTACAATTTTGTTGATCACTGTATAACCACTGTAAGTATGACCAATAATTCCAGCTATAATTCAGATTTGAAACTAACCTGATTTAGTGTTGTTAAGTATTCGACCTTCTCTAGGTCAAAGTTTGAACTCATCAAATCTGACCTAGACATAGAAAACATAATTTTGTGAATTTTCAGACTGTGGGCTGTGGGTTGGGTCAGGACATCAGGTCCGTCCTGGACTCCATTCGTGCAAAAACCACCAAAGATGTTACATGCAAAAAAAACAAAACAAAAAAAAAAACAAAAACACATTTTGGTTTGCTTCTTTGAGAGCAATCATAAACAAGAGGGGATTTCCCCGTTCCTTCAGCTTACAGGTGTGCTGCAAATCATGGAAATACGATTCCATCTGTGTTGCAGACCTTAAACCACCTTCTGTTATCAGCCAGGAGTCCAGATGACGCTCAGAGTGACGAGATCAACCTGCTGCTGAGGGCTGAGTGATCACTACTGATAACTCTGCTCATGGTTTCAGCCACCGGTTGCTTTTTTTTTTTAACACTATAACTCAGTTTCACTGAGATACAACAAAATGGAAAAATAGAATGTTTTTCTCATTCAGTTGAAAAAGTGAAACTCATACACTGATTTTTTAACACATCTCAAATGTTTGTTATTCATTTTAAACATGGTTAACCGTTACTGAAAAACCCAAAATTCAAATTCTCAGAATATCGGAATGTTACTCAAGACAGTTCAAGCACATCATTTGAAAGTTGAGTGGATGGAAAACCTGTGGTAGAAAAAGCTGATCTCGCTGAGAGGGAGATAATCAGATGTAAAAATGCAGATGAGCTGAACAGTGCTATAATAAATAACTTGTGCTTCACAGCCTCTCAAGTTTAATTATCTTGTTTTTCCTTCCACTCAACTTTCTGTGTTTCTTGGCTAACAGCCTTCCACTTCAGCAATGACCTTTTGTGGAAGACGTTTGCTGATAAAACTGTGGTCAGCATTCTGATCCATGATTGTGTTGCCAGTAACTTGTCCATACAGTTTCTGTTTTTGTCATGTTTAATATTCTAGACAGTTGGTTTGGTTTATGTTTTACTCATAACCAGTAAAATAACCACAAATAATCACTTCAGCATCAATCTGTGTGCAAACAATCCATATAATATGAGTTTCAGTTTTTGAATTGGAATTGCTAAAGTTTGTGAGATTTGAACTTGTTGAAATGTTCCACCTTCCTCTCCTGCGCTCACTGAGGAGAACTGGCTGTCTACCACATAACACCGCCCCCTGCTGGCGGCTCAAACCGGATTTTAAATCTGTTTTCTTTCTACTGTCCAGGGTTTTGAGTCATAAACTGTTCCATGATTTTTACACGTTCTTGTAAAAACACAACAGAATGTTTATCTTTTGAAATAGAACAAATATAGATGAATGAAATTTAGCGTTTGGCTTTTTAATAGTGGAATGAGCACTGACGCACTTCCAGAAGAAATCTGAGTTACTTGAAATACTAAGTGTGAATTGTGAAAGGCCAACTGATGCTGTATATTATAAATCTATATGCGATTAACACCAAAAAGGCTTTTTAATGTGATGTGCATTTGTTTGATCTGTAAAGCCCAATAGAAAGTCATGGAAATGAAATGTTATTTATTAAATCATATATAAAGAAATAAAAATGTGATGTGCACCAATAGCCTTATCAAATCAAAAGTTTTTTTTTTATATTTTCTGAAAGAGAATATACCTTTTAGGATTTGCTTAAATTTGAACATGAATGTTAACATGAATACTGATTAATATCCCCCTCTTGGATTATTTTTGTAGACATAAATGACTTGGAAAACCAATAAATACTCCCTTTACTTTTGGAATATAATCACAGATTTAAGGTTTATGCTCCTTAAATTACTTTATGAACTTTTTTCTTTTGATCGACTAAGTTACTTTTTCAAACTGTTAAATATGTAAAGAGGCAGAAGTAGTCTAATGGTCCAGTAATAATAAGTTTTTACATAAAATTCAGATTTTAGATATTGATTATTTTTTTACAGTGCAACCCACCGTGGCTCTGTGTGAAACAACACTGATGGTGGTTCCACGGTAATGACTGTCCTAAGGAATAACTAGCAGCAAGTTTTTTCACATCTTGTATGTCGAGACTTTGACTAAGCCACTCCAGACAGCAGTCAGTAGGCCCTGGTTGTGTCTAGTAGAATTGATCACAGATTATTCAGGACTCAACTTAAGCATCAGATATATTGTCACAAAGAGCCAAGTTATTGTGCGTAACCTTTACCCTGAATAAATAATATTTTAATTTGAAAACTAAATTTTGTGTTTCCTCCAGTTATCTGTATCTGATATCAGGATTAGTCTGACGATCTGAAACATTTTTGATGAATCTGTCTTGGCAGATACTTTATCATGCCAGTATGTAAAATACAACCAGCTTCACTCACATTCAGTTCTCATTCTTTCCAAAGAAATAAACTAATGAAATGTCTCAATGAAAGCCATTTTTTCTCTGTACTTTTTGTAACTTGACAAAGTTCTAATCTACTGATTCAGTCTCACCCTGTGAGCTGATGTTCCTGTGTGAAGAAAGGAACAGTTTGTGTCTTACTGAGCAGGTAGTCATCACCTGTTTACCTATTAAGCTGTTTAGCTGACTGCGCCTCACTGCGCCGTAACATCAACAGTGATGGGGTTTTCTGATATCAGCTGTTTGCAAACCTCTGCAGTCTTTCTGCTCCTGTAAATACCGTCTTATGTAGCCACAGACATAATGCTAACGCTAAATCTAACTTGCACATTTATCATTAGTTCGCCACATATTCCAATGGTCTGTACTTCTAGTTATGGCTGCGCCTATATTCTGTGTATAAGCCCGTTTGTGGCAGTTGTGTAGATGTGTGTGTGCTTTCTGTTACTTTCCTCAGAATGTGTCAGACCTTCCACTGCCTCTGCAACTGTCATGAAGGAAAGAACCACACGGGTAAAGCTTCTGTCTTTCTAATGCCACCAAGAAGCCGACGCCCATCATTCTGAATAAATAAATGTATATATTAGGATAAAATACCAGCAGTTGTCTCTTCTGTTTCTCCAACCAGAACACAAATTGGCAGGACCAAATAAAATGAACATGTGTCTAAAACATAAAACATGATGGCTCAGAGGAATGATTATTACAAGATCACTAACATGGAGGAGGAAATGATGATTGACGAGCTGCGACATTTTATTTTCCGTGTTCCTGGAATCCCAAAGGAAACAAATGGAAGGTGTTGGTGGGATGTTTACACGCTGCTTCAGACCAGAACAGAGCGGGACGAGTTCAGCATTATAGTCCAACAGTAGGTACTTCCTCCCAGCCGAGGACAATTGCTCCTCTGAACTATCCGTCCTGCTCTGTGGCTGGAAAACCGGATTCTGGAAGTTGAGTAGTTTGGTCTGTTTTCCACATAAACAAACATTCCCACAAAATTCTGACCAAACTCACGACAGTTTCACCTGCAGAGGGTGACCAAACGTTCACCAGGGAGGTTATGACAAGAAGGAACGAACGACCTGAGGCAACTACGCCAACGAGAACCGATTTCTGCACTTTGATCAGTGTGTCAGTGATGGCTGAAGACCCTCGGGCAATGAGGGGTCACTGTGGAGATGCAAGAGTTCACCTCTTATGCGAAGGTCAACTGGAGGTATTGTTGGGTTACCAACGGCCATGGAAACATCATCAAACAGTGCTTCATGTTGCTGGCAGCTTTTTGGTTGCTTGTTTTAAGTTCTGGTGGTTGACTATGAGTTGTGACAGCAGCTCTCACACCAACCGCACTGCACTGGCAATCATTGGTTAAATAATAAAGAGGATCAGAGGAGATATCAACCATGTTGCTAGTTGTAACTAGCTAAGCCGCATATTGTCCGGACATGCTGAGAAATCTTGCAGCTTGAGCAAACAGATCTCAGACTTCACATATACCACAGATCCTACAACTGCTTTGCAAATATTGCAGCAATAACCCAATAATAGGATCATTTAATCTCAAGTGACTCTATGCAAACTCTCTGTCTGCACTGAAGATTCACTCAACTTTTTTTGGCAGAACTCTTGAAGTTAAAGTGATGAAACTGGCAGAGGATTGAGTTCTGAAGTTTTGTCCTGAAATGATCAATTGATCTCAACATGGAATAAGGAAAAACAAACAAGTTAAAATATGATTTATGATCAGATCCTGCGAGAGGCGACTGCACTCAGCTTCCGGTCAGAACTCCAGCCTTGAGCTGATGCCTGACCGCTCACCGTTATAACAGTCACTGAAGATGAACGGCAGGCGTTTTCTGTCGGCTCCGTCCTCAAAGATGCTCTGCCCTGGTGGCCTGCAGCCCCGAGTGACCAGGATGCTCAGCTGGACGTCCAGTTTGAAACCAAACCGTCCCACATTCAGCTGAAGACTCAACGACTGTGATACACTGAGGCGATGCTACTGGAAAAAATGAAATCCCAGCAACCCTCTCTGACTTCACCTCAGTGTGGGGTCAGTTACTGTATTCACCGTAAGAAGAAGCTGAGAACAGAGAAATTCATTTTACTCGAGGTGGCAGAACAGGAGCTCATGTTTCACAGGCCCCTCCCACTGCAGCACTGGTTCTGGTAGTGACCACGCCCACTTTACTCACACACACAGATCAGGTGTCAAGAAGAGGCTGCAGGAACTTCAGTCCCCCACCAGGACGGACGGCGTGATGACGTTTTGCTCCTGAACGTCATTTAGTGTCTTGGAAAAGTACAATAAAGGCCAACAAACTGAAAACGCCACAGCAAAACGACAACAGTCACAACAGAAGTTCTGCTAAAACAGAAAATACACTGGAGCTTCATCAGGCTGAAATGGACATTTTACTAAAACTCAATTATTTGCTTACCAATCAATCACATTGTATTGGTAAAGCATCTTTCAGTAACAAGGCATTTCAAACTGCATTACATCATAAAAACACAAAGGTGCAACTAAACAGAAGTTATGATACACAAGAAACTTTTCTGACACAGAATTTAACAGAAGATAAAATAGAAGTTGTGATAAACTTGCTGGCATGACGTTCATTTCACCACCATTTCCATTCTGATCATTCTGTTGTGGCTTTTGCATTTTGCTGACCTTTACAGAACAAAAATGAAAAGATCAAAAATGTTTGACTCACTCTCTACTGGACCTGTGAACAGAACCTGGGCCTGAAGATGAAGTTCTGCTGCTGCGTTTCTCCTGGGCTCCGTTGCATCAACAGTCACTGAGGGGCCAGACTTCATCTGGCTGCCAGCTGGCTCATATCCAGCGCATACTGAATCAGTGCTGCTGCCAGCCCCTGGTTACACAGTACATGTTCTGAAGCAATAACAGAGCACAATCTAACCTGAAAAGAAAAAAAACCATCCGCTCTTCCCGCGGCGGCTGAAGGCCCTGTTATCATTGCAGCATGCAGCCGCTGTGCGTAACAAACCAATAAAAGCTGCGGCCCGGAGGCGCTCTGACCCAAACTGGACCTCAAACCTAAAGCTCAAGCTAAAGCTCTCAACAAGACACACATTAACCTTCCCGCCATTATTTTTCTGCAGAGATCTCCCACTTTGAAGTGCTTCCCATTTAACCTTCATTTAACTCTTGTGTCACGCGCTCCCTGTTCTGACAGCGGAAGCCTTTAGAAGTCAGAAAGGGCCCCAGGCTGTGGATGGCATCAGCACACAAGCATGGAGAGCGCTGACCCGCTGCAGGTCTGCTGCCTTCCACGTCCAGCCGGGTTTCACTGGACCTGCGTGTGAAAAGGCGCGATCCCGGCGCTGGCCGCGTCAGAGCAGAGCGGCAGCGGCTTCAGCATCTTCAGGCTCCACTTTGGTTTCAGCTTTTTTTTCCCTTCTTTTCAAAAAGAAGAGTTTTTTTTACAACATATTTCTTCTTGGGGGCCAAAAACAGACAGTTTAGTAAATACTTATCCGTTAGGAATGTGTAATCAATACTGTATATTTACATAAATGTATTGTTTATGGCAAAATTTTGCTCCTGATTCCCATAGCATGGAAGATACTTAACCTATTAAATATGCTTGTATGCAGTTATGCATTTAAGATGTGTATTTATTAACGTATAAATGTCCATTTTAATTTAAGCTTCATGAACTGTAACATTTCTTGTCCATAATCAGCATTTTGATGATGTGAAGAAAACAAAACATTTGCCTTGCTGGTTGTTTCATGTTGTTACTGTGTGTTGCACGTTAATGTAGTAATAACTTCAAGAGTATAAAATAAAAATAACTTCACAACAGTGTGACATGTTTTTAACCTGGTTTTTCATATTAAATATTTCAGAGCTCATGGACTTGGTCTTGGAAAAAAATAAAAATGGGAAAACATTATTATTATTATTATTATTATTATTATTATTATTATTATTATTATTATTATTATTATTTTAAATGACAGGTTTTCTTCAAATTGAGATTTCTATGATTTGTCTGTCAGTTCACTGCTGACTTCAGAATTCAACAGTGGAAAAATTCCCACCGCTCTACAGAGAAGCAGTGGAGATCAATATTTCCTGAAAGTAGGTTATTGACTCCTCAGAATGGTTCCGCAGAACCCCGCGAGCTCACGCTGACCAACCTGTGTGATCACATGTAAGTAAATGATGGATG